CGAGCCACTGTGACGGCTTACCACCACTCCCGCCCACCACTGCCTCCACCCACCACTGCACCTTTTTAAACCATTCAGAATGCCCTTGGCTTAAAAAACAAAAATTAACAAAACTAGTCTTCAGTTTTTAGTGTTTCTTTCATTCTAGTTTTTCTCAGAGTTTTATTATGATTGGCTGCTGAAATTTATAAGCATTTGGTATATATTGAGTTGATTAGCTTTTGTTTTCCTTTAAATTGTTGATGTAAAGACATATGATTAATTTTCCTGCTATTGGAATATTCCTGGAATAACCTTATTTACTCTTACTGGGTCTTATTCTTTTGGATATATTGCTGGATTCTATTTGCAATGTTCAAGTTTTCACTTGATATCTGTATTGATTACTGAGATTACTGCAGCAGAGGTCAGCAATTACTGCCCTGGGGCCACCCAGCTTCCATAACCATTTTTGTACATCTCATGACCTGAGAATGGTTTCTGCATTTCTTAATGCTCAGGAAAAATTAAAAGAAGAGTAGTATTCTGTGACGAAGGGAAAATTATATCAAATACAATTTTAGTGTCTATAAATAAAGATTTATTTGAATACTACTGCACTCATTCATCATATATTGTTCGGAGGCTTTTGTGAGGTAGAGTTGAGTACTTGCAAAGAGACTGTGATGGGCCTCCCAAACCTGAAATATTTACTATTTGGCTCTTTACAGAAATGTTTGCCAACCTCTCTGGTCTATCTTTTGTTGGGGGAGGAGCTATCTTTATCAGATTTGCAGGGCTGTAATCTGGCCTTCGTAAAATGAATTGGAATTTTCTTTTTCTATTATGTGAAATAGCCTCAACATTCAATGATCTTCCTCCCAAAGGTTAGATAAAGCTCAGCCATGAAACTATTTCTTCCAGGGCAACATTTAATATATAAAAATATAATCTTCCCAGAATTGGTCTATTCAAGTTTTATTTTCTTGGATTGATTTTGTAATTTAGATTTTGGTTAGAAAACCATCCATTCCTCTCTGTAATATTTCAAATTTGCTGGCTATAAATTTGCATAGAGTGCCTCCTTAATATACCTTTTAATTTTACCACATCTGTAGTTGAGTCTCAGTTCTCATTTTCTTATTCCTATAATTTTTTGTACTTCTTTTCTTTAATCTGGGTTTATGTTTAACTGGAGAGTTTATCTGTTTGTCTGTTTGTTTTTCAAATAAACAGTTTTTGACATCTTCCTTTAACTCTTTTCTTGGTTTTCCATTTAACTAATTCAAACTTAATATTTCCAGCCCTCATTTCATGCTATTTTATTCCTTTTTACTGTTAGGATGAGTTCTACATTTCTGGGGCATATTTTGGGGACTTATCTTCCATAATAAGGCATTTGAGGCTATTGGGTCTATCCTCCATGGCTAAGACATCTGAGGCTATGAATTCCCCAAGCCCAGGCCTTTATTAGGCATTCATTTTTCATTGCCTTATGGGCAGCTCTGGTACCTTTATCTGATTTCACCTTCCAATAAGAATTTCTAATTTCCAATGAGGCAAGATTTTATTAATTTTAAATTATTTATTTCTGATTTTATTGGATATGATCAACAAATATGTATACAATTTCATTTTGCTCTGTTTGTTTTTAAGCTTCCTGAAAAATAAGCACATGGCAGTTCTTTGCCAATATCTCCAGACACATAAAGAATGATAAATTCCTCTGCCTGGAAAGACAAAGTCTGGGCATGTATCAGCTGATGATCGTTTGATACGCTGTTTATTCAATTCCCTGTCCCTGCTTTTGGCTACTGATGCTGAAATTCCCTTACACAATAACTACATCTCCCTGCACTTAAGTAGCCTTTAACACCCATAGCTGATCTCTGGGCTCGGTGCTTATGGTGACTCATACCAGCTAGCAAAATACCAACAACTCTGCAGTTTCCTTTTCCCCAGCACGACAATTCCTCTCTTCCTCCCCCTTCCCTCCTCCTCCCCTCCTCCTCCTCCTCCCTTCCTCCTCCTCCCTCCTCCTCCTCCTCTTCCACCGCTGCAACAGACCCGGGAACAGCTGAGTGCCACTGTGATGGGCACCACGCCTCCAACCTTGCTGTCGGTTACTCTCATAATTTCCCCACCAAGATGATATCTGCAAGGAGCTCACTATCCAGACTTGAAAGCAAAATTCACACACACTTCTCCCACCTGCACAAATTGCCTTTAAACCAAGATGCCTACAAACAGCCTCTTCAACAACACAATGCAACCCTGTTATGTCCTCATTCAAATAGTCTCATTGTCAAACACCTAATATGAAACTGCAAAACATATTGTCAACCACAAGTTTACCATGGAAACTTATTCTTACCATCAAAACTAAAACCTAAGCCCACGCATGGTTTGGCACACTAAGTGTAGGGACTTTCCTTCCTTCCTTCCTTCCTTCCTTCCTTCCTTCCTTCCTTCCTTCCTTCCTTCTTCCACTGTTGCACAGACTCAAGAACAGCGTTGAAAAGCATTGTGGGGAGTGGCACCACGTTTCCCTCTAACTTTAATAGCGATATTTCTTATACTTTCCCACCAGTGAGGATATTTGCAGGAGTTTCATTTTATCTAGACTTAGCAAATTAAGTACATTTCCTTCCATTCTTGTATGCTAATTGTTTTTTTAAATCAAGATGTTTATTAAATGCTTTTCTTTTTAATAACAGCATGTAACCTCCCAGTAGGTTCTCTTTGCCTGCTGTCTAGACAGAGCTAATATCAAGACAGGGGAATTGCAATGGAGAAAGAGTTTAATTCACACAGAGCTGGCTGTATGGGAGACCTGAGTTTTATTATTACTTAAATCAGTCTCCCTGAAAGCTTGGGGATAGAGGGTTTTAAGCATAATTTGGCGGGTAGGGGATCAGAAAGTGGGGAGTGCTGATTGGTCAGGTTGGAGATGAAATCATAGGGAGTCAAAGCTGTTCTCTTGTGCTGAGTCAGTTCCTGGGTGGGGAGGCCGCAGGACTAAATGAACCAGTTTACTAGTTTGGGTGGTGTCAGCTGATCCATCATGTACAGGGTCTGAAAATATCTCAAGCACTGATCTTAGGTTTTACAACAGTGATGTCATCCCCAGGCGCAATTTGGGGAGGTTCATAATCTTGTAGCCTCTAGCCGCATGACTCCTAAACCATAATTTCTAATCTTGTGGCTAATTTGTTAGTCCTGCAAAGGCAGTCTAGCTCCCAGGCAGGAAGGAGGTTTGTTTTGTGAAAGGGCTATTACCATCTTTGTTTCAAAGTTGGACTACAAACTAAATTCCTCCCAAAGTTAGTTCAGCCTATGCCCAGGAATGAACAAGAACAGCTTGGAAGTTCAAAGCAAGATGGAGTTAGTTAGGTCAGATCTCTTTCACTGTCAGAATTCTCTCAGTTATAATTTTTGCAAAGGCAGCTTCAAGCAGGAAGGATTTCACGGTTTTCCTCTTTGATCTGTTAATATGGCAAATTACATCAATATATTTTTCCCACAGAAACCTCCTCAGAGTGGTGGACTTTAGCCAGATTTTAGGCTACCTGACACCTTCAGGGAAGTTTAAACTTTCCCTCTGAAGTTTTGATAATTGAATCTGCTGAAATAGACTGACGATAGACAGACAGGAGAAAAGACATCAAGTGTATTAGCATGCAAGCACATGGGAATCATACAAGCATGAGACTCAAAGAAAAGTCAGATAATTGAAGTTTAAATACCCTCTTCATATGGGAGAGAAAAGTGGAGGATGTAGACAATTATAGAGGAAGAGTAAATGATTTTTAAGAAGGATGAATGAGCCTGAAGCACAAACAATAGCTGAAGGCAAAGTTCTTCTAGGCTCTGATAGGGATAGTGATAAGTTGTAGGAAGGTGCAGGGTGGAACTGCATTGCAAACAAAGGTTGTGGGGGTTTTTTTGTTTTTTTTATTTTTATTTTTTGAGACACAGTCTCGCTCTTTCGCCCAGGCTGGAGTGCAGTGGTGCTATCTCAGCTCACTGCAACCTCCGCCTCCCAGGTTCAAGCGATTCTCCTGCCTCAGCTTCCCGAGTAGCTGGGATTACAGGCACGTGCCACCATGCCTGGCTAATTTTTGTATTTTTTAGTAGAGATGGGGTTTCACCATGTTGGTCAGTCTGATCTTGAACTCCTGACCTTGTGGTCTTCCTGCCTTGGCCTCCCAAAGTGCTGGGATTACAGGAAGTGAGCCACCGTGCCCGGCCAAAGGTTGTCTTATTATGCAGATAAAGTCTCTTGGTGACAGCCCTCAGAACAGATGAAAAGTCTGCTCATGCAGATGATCTTTAATTTCTTCTTTAATTTGATTTCAAACAGTGGATTGAAGGCAATTGTGTTTCTTTTTTTTTTTTTTTTTTTTTTATTATACTTTAAGTTCTAGGGTATAACGTGTGCATAACGTGCAGGTTTGTTACATATGTATACTTGTGCCATTTGGCGTGCTGCACCCATCAACTCGTCAGCACCCATCAACTCGTCATTTACATCAGGTATAACTCCCAATGCAATCCCTCCCTACTCCCCCCTCCCCGTGATAGGCCCCAGTGTGTGATGTTCCCCTTCCCGAGTCCAAGTGATCTCATTGTTCAGTTCCCACCTATGAGTGAGAACATGCGGTGTCTGGTTTTCTGTTCTTGCGATAGTTTGCTGAGAATTTGTGTTTCTTTAAAAGAACTTCCCTCAGTCAGATAAAGGAGCTTCAGAGAGAGCCCCTTCCTGCACTTGGAGGGGAGAAACAAGGGAAGATCAGAGATCTTGATTCTGAGGCAGATTGGGAGGCCTTTCATTGAAGGTGCTTAGTACGCCAAAGAGTTATACTTTGGGGGTGTTGTTTTCTGACCCCAAACACACCTGATTCCCTTCCCCATGTCTGGGGACTGTCCTTCTTATCTATCTGGGTGGGAAACAGCCTGCCTCTAATTATAGAGCTGAAAATGCCAGTTTCTCACTTTCCCAGATCCCCTGGCTGCTGGGACAGACATGTGACCAGGTTTGGCCAATCAAATTTGTGTGCTGAGAATTTTCAGTCTGCAGCTTGGGATCCAGAGAACGAGGATAGCACCCCCTGTGTTGGTGCTGGACTCCTCAGCAGGCTGGTTCTGTGGTATGATGCTTTCTGTGGTTCTGGGTGCATAACTTCTCTTTGATCTGCCTGTTTTCTGAGCCTGGTCCCTGGGCTTTCTGACAATTTGGTGAGCTACTAAATATTGTTTCAATACACTTCTATTTTGCTTAAATAAATATGAATCTGTTTATGTTTGTAGTTAAGATCAATGACTAATATATTTGCATTTGTGGAATAAATCCTACTCATTCAAGCATTATTTGATATCACCATTGGATTCAGTTTGTTGATATTTATACCTGTGTTCATAAATCAGATTGGCTAATAGTTTTCTCTTCTTGCACTGTTCTAATCTTATTTTAGTATTAATAGGGTGCCAACTTTTGGGAATTTTTTGTTAGAAAAATTCCTACAACAGAATTGCTGGATCAAGGGGTCTGTGCATTTTCAGTTTTGATGACCATTGTCAAATTGCTATCCAAAGAAATTTTGCCAGTTTACATTTTGACCAGCAACATATAATACTGCCTGTTTCTCTCTATCCTTGCCAACACAAAGGACCTGTTATCAATCTGTTTCTTTATTTTTTTTTATGGGTAAGTTGAGCATGCTTGCATATGTTCAGAGTCTTTCTTTCTCCAGCTGTTTTGTTTTCTATGAACCATCTGTTGATGTTTTTTGACTAGGTGGTTAGTTTTTCTTCTTATGTTTTTTGTTGGGGAGGGAGGAGGCATGAGAGAGTCAGGGTTTAACTTTTTGTCCTACAGTGACCTGTTGGTCTGAAGTTTAAACTCAGTTCCTGGGTGCTGGTTGTAATGGCTGTCGAAACTGGAAAAGACCCTCACAAAGACCTGCAATGCAGAGGGAAGATGGCGTGATTGGTTCTGCCTTCCAACTCAAGACATTCACTGTCCAGTTGCATCCACCAATTAAGCAAAGGTTTTTATTGAAGTCAGGTGAAAAAAAATTCATATTCCCTAATGATAATCAGTTGTTCTATAAATCAGTCAGAAGTTGTTGCATTTTTACATTTTTAACAAATGGGTCCAAAACCAACACAGTGATTTTGTAAGTAATAAGTAGGTGAGGAAATTCTGTCTCCAAAGTTTTAAGTGTTTGACTGAGAGAGTTGTTATGAGTGAGCCACATTCCTTTTGGCAACAGAGTCACATAAAGAAGGAAACATTTCAAAACATCTGTTTTCTAAAAGCATTTCCACGGCATCTTAATTTGACTGATGAGGAGCTCCCTCTAGGGGAGAGAAAAATATCAGCACCAGAGTTTCTTGTGTGTTTCGCCTAGGGGTTTTTGTGGAAATCTTTTTAATCCCCTTGCCTATGCTGGTAAGGCTTAGCATTGTTATAACTAAACAACGCAATCCATAAATGCTTTGCCAGTGCAGCACAGTCACAAATGATCATCTCTCCCAACGCATGGAAAGCACATATATTGGCCTGTCTCTTTTACTAGAATGTGACCTTTATGTGGGGAGGGCTTTGCCTGTTTTATTCTTTTCTTTAATAAATACCAATAACAGTACCTGACACATAGCACGGTTCAATAATTTTTGAATCAATGAACAAATCTTTGAACAAAAGTTTTGAGCTTAGTGTAGCTTGAAATCCATGACTAGGCTCTGTGGCCAAGGGCAGGCATTTGTCTGTGACCTAAGGCTGAGTAGTCTGTGCTGGGGGTGGGGGTGAGGTTTATTTAACTGGCTTAGGCCAAATGTATTCACTCAGTGCTTATGTATTGAGCACCCACTGTGTGCCAGACACTGTTATAGGGGCGGGGCTCCCAACAGTGAAAAGGGCAGGCAAGATTCCTGAACTTAAGGAGCAGTGATACAGAGAATGTTGAGATGATAATACTTACTATGGGGAAAAATCAAACAGGGAAGGGAGATAGAGTATTCTGGCATGGAGAGGAGGTCTTGATTTTATCTGTGGTGAGAGAAAGCTTCACTGAGAGGTGAAGGAGAGAGAGAAAAGGTTGAGCAGCCATCTGGGAGACAGTCATCAAGGCACCGAAGCAGGAACGTGCCCAGCATGTTTGAAGAATGCGGAGGAGGCTGGTACAGCAGAGCAGAGTAAGGGAGAGGGAGAGGGATAGGGACTGGAGTCAGAAAGATGTGGCCTACAGGTGTGAAATTCCTAGAGAGAATGTTTGAAGATTTTCTAGCAGTGAGGAAGGACCTTGTGAGTCAAGGGCAAAAGCAGGCCTAGGCCTTTCTTGCATCCTTCCCTGCTTCTAAAGGTGATTTTCAGGTTTTCTCTGAGACCATTTTCTTGGAAAGAGTCAGATCATCAATATGAGGCAACAATGCCTGAGGTGGTTCTGCTGCAGCCCACCTCTCATGAGGTGGGAGATGTTGTAGGATAGTATGGAGTACAGAGGGGAGAACATGCTGAATTGGATTCTGGCTGAACTAAGCTGAACGAGAGAGCACTTTAGACCCTGGATGTCAGAGGTGGAGGAAGGGACCATCGATCTCTCCCAGCTCCTCTCTGTAGGGCATCGTGCCCCACTTAACTGCAACCACCACTCTCATGAAAGAATCTTAATCTAAAAACTCTCGAAACCTCCTAACAGCCAGAAAGAAACAGCCTCCACTGGAGATGACAAAACAAGATTAACCTTTTTGGACACTGATATGATTCCCTTTAGCCTCATTTTGTTATTGTTAGATTCTTTTGTATTTTTTTTTAAGTCTACGAATTGTTCTAAACTTTGTAGTGTAAGTGGTGATGGGCGATGGTGCTGTCCTGGGCTTCCTGCTGGCCAGTTGAGTTGGGGGTGTGTGCCAACACCTCTTGCTGCATCTGGATTCGTGACATATTTAGCTAGCCTGGCTCCAGATGGAAAGCCTGGCTGCAGTCAGTACTCTAAGTCGGCCTGATCACCGTATTAAGAGTCATTGTTATGGTCACACACCTTGTTGTCTGTGACAAACAAAATGCACTTATTCAAGCCCTAATCTGTATAATGAATTGGGGTATCTGATGGGGTGACCCAGGCTCCTGAGAATTCTTAGTAGGATACATGAACGTCAAAGGATGGAGTTGTAGGGGAATGACTTTGCCATGGCAACCTTGCATATATCTACACCCCCTGCAAAGGCAAAGGCTTGAACCACAGTTAATCTGAGTCTTGGCAGAACACTTCTTGATCCCCTCTGGAACAGAAGAGGATGGAAGGCTTGTAAGGCACGCTCTGAGGCCCTTGTCTCCTTTGGGAGGCTGTCATGAGACAGTTTTCTATCTCCTCCCTAGTCCTGATGAGGTGTGGGGCTTTCTGCCTTGTGCCCCTCAGAATAGAGCTACAGAATATAAAACTACATAGCCGCAGTCCAGAATTGGCTCAACAGCCGCAGGGTATTCCACGACTTGCCTTGTAGTCATCGATCCCCTTTTGTGTTGTTCCTTTTACTATGTGAGAAAAGAACCCTAGGGAGCTGGCACTTTTGACTAATCTTCCTTTCTCTGTCTATGTGAGTAACAAACAATCAGTCTGAAGTGGCTCGATTGGATCGGTTAGACCTGGGCCTTGGTTTTCTCTTGTGTGCCTTGTGTGTGCTTGACAGAAAGGCCACGTCCTGGGGGTCAGTTATCTGTCACAGTTACTGTGAAGCCTCTGAACTGGGAGAGCTGTAAGTTGTAATGCTGATGATGTGCCCATGTGACTAACATGATAGAAAAGACCAGTGGAAAAATGAGGCAGTGGTTCCCTGTGGCAAGGGGAACTGCACACACTTGGATCTCGTTCCTGGTGGATGTTTGCACCCCTCCTTGCCCCTTGTGGGTGGAAGTAGGGTTAGGGAGGAATCAGAATCTGCATTCTGAGTAGTTGCTGGGACTCCTGAGGAGAGTGAAACTGATTTCCTGACCTGTATCTTCTACAGGGCTAAGGAAACTTAGTGCTAGATTAAAGTCTGTCGTGTCTTGAATTTGAAGTCTAGCCTCCCCTCCCAGTGGTGGGACAGACCTGAATCTTCAGACTGAGGATGAAAATAAGTCCAAATAGATCAATAATCACAATAAGTTCAATGAGTTAAACTTGATAATTAAAAAGCAGTTTGATAGATTACATTTAATAGATCTATATAATGTTCATAAGGTATATATCTAAAACAAAGTAACACAGAAAGTTTGAAAACAAAAGGATAGAAAAAAGATATATCAGGCAAATTTCCAACCAAAGAAAACTATCACAACAAAATATAATTTAAACCTTAAAAGGAATGAAGGAATCAGCAAACTATGGCCTGCAGGCCAGCTGAACCCACCAGCTGTTTTTAGAAATAACGTCTTATTGGAACACACCACTCCCCTTTGTTTACATATAGTCTGTGGTTGCTTTTGAGCTACAATGACAGGGTTGAGTGGTTGTGACAGACACTGAATGGTTGTCAAAGCCTAAACTATTTACTACCTGGCTCTTTATAGAAAAGCTTTGCCAACTCTAGTTATAAACCAATGAAAGGAACACTACTCTAAGATGCTATAATACTTGGGAATTTGTATGTATGCAACAAAACTTCAAAATATAAAAATAAAAAGGCTGATAGAATTACAAATAAGATAATTCTACATTTATACCTATTTCAGACACTCATGGATCAAGGAGACAGAAAAATGATAATAGGATATTTGAAAAATCCAGTCCATACACATACACACAGGTTTGAATTGTGGTAAATGGAGATGATTGGACAGAGAGTGGCAGAGCTGAGGATCATATGCATAGATGCATGAGGGATCATAGTGGTCATGACCAGCCAAAATTATGAAGCCATCAATGTTACAAGGCAGAGAAAGCAAGGACAATAGAAATCACGAAAAAATGGTAGTAACGAGAACAATTAGAGCATAAAAAAGTTAGCCAAACTGGAGAGACCAGCCCAGAGTGAATGTCACTAAAGTTCTGAGGAGTCCCAGAGCTACCTTGCATTCCATTCAAGTCTTTCAGATGCTCCTTTTTATGACTTGTTTGTTTGTTTGTTTGTTTGTTTGTTTGAGACGGAGTATCAGAGTATCGGAGTATCACTCTGTCATCCAGGCTGAAGTGCAGTGGACGCAGCAATCTAGCAATCTCAGCTCACTGCAGCCTCTGCCTCCTGGTTCAAGC